GTAGCACGAATGGGTCGACTCGACCGGAGAGGGACCACGCTGTCACAAAATTCCAGCGTAAAATAGCAGCTTAAGGCTGCTTTGTTTCGTATGGTAAGTGAAGAGAATCAGAGACATTTTTACTGGAAATTAGACTCTTTGGGCTTGGGGCCCTGGGGCATTTTTCTGTAAAATGGCATATGCCATAGTCGCCTCTTTTACTGGAAACGAGGCATTAGATTTTGGTCCTCAGGGGTGACAACGCATCTGCGTTTTGATTCTTAATCTAGGATAAATGTAGATGTCTATGAGCCACAACATCTACTTACCATCAGGTAGACTGCGTGCTCTTTTGTCACCTTAATTCTATTTTAAAAAAAAATCATGAATGCGCTAACTGAGGACCAAGACGGAAAGTCTCACAGCGTGTAATTACTGTAATTATACCTGCTCTCTTATACCCTCCAGGTCGAAATAGGTAAATATAATAGGTATAGAGGGTGGTACATTCCCAGACGCATTGCAAGGCGGAATATAAGTCCTAACACCTAGTCCATTAAAAGATTTGCAATCCGTATCCTGAAATCCTTTAAAATGAATATAATATAATAATAGATCACTTGTTATTACGTTAAAGTCATTTTAAATAGCAAAGTAAATAGCCGCTATTATAAAAGCGACTTTTTTTCAAAAGTCACTCGTCTTAAGCCAAGCAAAATACATATCGGCCAAGTCTCAACCAACGCGAGCGTAGGCAAATTGATATATGGCGAGTGCTACAGTCTTACATGTTGGCCAAGTTTGAATGAGTGAACATACTGACATAGCCATCTAACACGTGGACACAAATTTCCGAGTTATGCAGAATAACCAACACTGCTCTAAAGTGAGACGAGTCGTGGCGAGCGTTTCCGAGTGGTGGCAAGGCACGCCAAACGCACCGTATACATGTTGGCGCTCGCCTGGACTCGACCAGCTTGGCGAACGACGACGAGCAATGACGAGGCTGTACAAATGGGGTGTCGCCCATATACGTTGGTAATAGCCTTCGTTGGGCAAACTGTATAACGTTCTTGATCCTGGCAGTATGACGTTTATTCTTAAGCAATGGACGGAACGACTAATAAACGTCTTGCAAGACCCACTCTTAGCGCTATATCTTTATACTGCTGATGGGTAACAACATTATCTGTGCGGAGGAGTTCACTAACGCACGTTGCCTAGCGTGGTACCCACGTTCTTTTTACTCACCGCGCTGGGTAATGTGTGTAGTGTGCACCCAGTGTAGTGACTAATAGAAAACCCGTTTCTTACACTAAATTTAAGTAACAAATAAACTTACAGTATACCTGCAGGCCAATTCGCTAAACAGTAGGTTGTTTTTCACTAGTTTTATAAAATTAATATCGCTGCAGTGCAGTTCGCGTCGTACGTATATAGTGTAAACATTTAAATAAAATTTCTATAATATCAAAAGTCTATAATATCAAAATAACTAACCATTAAGCTCAGAGCTATTTTTAAAATGTTTGTCTGTCTGTCTTTTTATCCGGGCTCATCTTCAGAGTGCAATGCCCTATTTATCTAGGTTATACTTTATCTGAAAACCTTGGGTGGTTTTTTGTGACAAATCACAGTAATAAATCCCGCCCAGGTGAAGTAGAGCAGCTCGCGAGTATAAAATATGTTCAGTCGCTGCCAAACATTTTGAAAGTGATAAATTTGCTTTTCAGTTCATATTTCGTTCACAGACGCTTTGCTTTACGATTGACTAGTATCCTGTATTAATGCCAGGGTTCTCCAATAGATCAATGTATTTCACTCATGTCACTTATGATTGAATGCCTACTAATACTTGTATTATATTTAATTTTTTATACGTGGTAGAGTCACGCTGTAGCTATATTGTGGTTGAAGCACGAATGGGTCGGCACGGCCGGGGAAGGACCACGCTCTCACAGAATACCAAGCGCAAAATAGCAGCTTAATACTGCTGTGTTTCGTATGGTGAGTGTAGAGAGCCGGAGACCCGTTGTCACTGGAAACGAGGCATTCCATCTTAGTCCTCAGTGGTGACAACGCATCTGCATTTTCATTCTTAATCGAGGATAAATGTAGATGTTTATGGACCATGGCAACCATATTTTAATCTACATAGCTAAATTATGGCTGCAACGTAAATTAATTGGGCAACAGAGTACTAACATGAAAAATAGCAACATAAAGCTGCTGTTTCGTATGGCGAGAGACAAAAAAGCGGAATCCCTTTTTACCGGTAATGAAGCATTCCATCTTAGTTCTTAGGGGTGATAACGTATGTGCATTTTAATTCTTAATCTATGAAGGATACTCTACTAGCTGGTGAGACTCCTTTACTTTTACAGTCCATCTGGTTTGTGACTTCAGTTTAGTAAAAAAGATTTAGACCGGTGACAGAAAGCAGCGTCTAATGTGCGAAACTTAATGCTGTCGTCAATACGGCTGCTATGTGTGACCATTAAGGCAAATCCTTTCTACGATGAGGCCTATGACTATATTATGGGCTGATAAAGATGTTACATTGTCTTTGTGTATTACTTGGATGGGATAAGGGTAACAAACGAGCACACAGACCAACTGATGGTAAGTGGAAGCTGTGACACATAGACGTCTACTTCAATTATTGGTTGAGAATTAAAATGCAGATGCGTTACGTCACCGGTTCCCCTACACTCACTACTCAGCAGACCTATGCGTGCTAAAACAATAATATGGATGCGGCGTGGTTGTACCACATATTAAACCTAGCACTGTATACACCTAAATAATTCCATATTTTAAATGTTAAATTTATATAATGAATGAATCGTTTTTATCTACTCGTTACTTCCTACCGCTGACATAAAACAATATACGAGTTAATCGTATGTAACTACGATAGGCAATACAATATCTAATGCAACAGTTTTAGTTTATTTTGGTATACTTATTAAATTTTAAATATATGTATTTAAATGTAAAGCTTTTTGTTATAGGTTATATATATATATATAACCTAATATGTTTAACTTGTCAGCGAGTAAATATGGGTTCCGAAATTCGCGGTATCAAAGCTACAAGTATAAAAATAAGAACAAAACAGAAATATCCTCCGAAATATCCGAAACCTAAAAAAACCTCAATTTTCCAAATACAGTGGACCGCCGGTAATCCTGCCCTGTCTAATCCGGTACCTCCTGTAATTTGACATGGTCTATTATTTATATTATTAAATATTTTTTGACAATCTTTGTTGTACAAGTTATAATTTCTACGCACCAATTATATTTTCATGTTTCTTAAATTGATTGATTCATAATTTATGATTATTTTAGTATGTACATTTGTTTGTACCACTGACCTCTATATAATATACAAGTATGCTGGACTGGCTATACACCGTGACATGATGAAGCGATTTAATTTCCGCCATTTTGGCGCTGACAGCAGAAGTGCACGTCCACGGAACTAATAATAAGGATAAGGCAGTGTACCAAATTATATCGATAAAAATTCTATACCCTACCATACCTAAATAAATAGAATGAACTCTACCCGTAACGTACATTCTATTTATGTATCATATTAATATAATGCCATAATCATCCATCATCATTAAAACCCGTCACAAGTCCACTGATGAACATAGGCCTCCCCCAAGAAATGCCACAAAGTACGGTCGCATCGCCAATCGCCATACCAATGCTCCTCTTCCCTTTAGACTCCACCTCCACTACAGCGGTACAGGGAGAGGAATCTCCTCTAGCCGCAGCCCACTAAAATACATATAACGTGGCTCGACATCATCAGGCGACCTTTCGACACTTGGCTATGGCCCTTGAGTTTGGTGGAAAATGAGGAAAGAAAAAAATAAAAAAAAAAACATTCGAAATAATAATCTAATACTTTTATACTTACTGGTATTGGTACTACCAGAAAATATTGTCGGTATGCTGCACTTTTTCAAAGTGGTGCAGTTCTCATGTCTAATAAAACAGTCGTCTGTGAAACGTTTGGAACAAATATGATCATTTTGTTTCGGACGCCAATTCACAATATTTTAGGCCATAATTTTAGTATAGGTGCAGTTGGAAACCTATTAATTAATAAACATTTGATAATCGTCTGTTGTTGGCGATTGTTTGTTAACAGATATGGGTAGGAAAGAACATCGATAAGTATTGATAGACAAGGAACTCGACAACCCTATTGAATTCTATTGTTTATCAAAACTCAGTAATATATAGCCAAAGATGTTGGTATATATGATATTAAGATTAGTAACAAATTTTTAAGTACTTATATTATCAAATAGTTTTAATTTGTTTAATATTTGTTGCAAATGCACTTACTTGTGAAATGTTATACCACTTCCCTTTTGGTAACGACTTTTACAGATTACGCACACTCTCATTATTAATAAAAATAATTCTTATTATGTAACTAATATTATACACAATCAAACAACGTAAATACTTTCGTTTTTTAGTTTAAAAGTTCAAAATACGGACTTATTATATAAGACAATATAAATGAGACAACAGACTTTGACACATTATGTAAATTTTATTTTTCAAGTCATCTTTTAGCGGCGCTTCAAATTGGCACAGTCATTTTCTATGGTATAGCCAGTCCAGCGTACTTGTATATATAGAGGTCAGTGGTTTGTACACAATTATTTCCTAATCTAAAGTTATTGCATATTTTTGTAAGTTCTATAGAATATCTTTTAACTTGTTAAGTCCTGACGTTTTGAGTTCTTTATCGGTAATGAAGAATTCCATCTTAGTCCTTACGGGTGACAAAGCATCTGCCGTCTAGGAAACAATCCATGAACAAGGACTTCTTCAGTCTTGGTTTGGATTTGGATTTAATTATTGCATCCCAAGTAGACTGCCACTCAGCCATCTTCTCGAATCTAATTAGGATAATTATGAAAGTTATGAATTTTCTTAATTTTCTTCATGTTAACTAGATTCACTTTACATGTTTTTCGTTTACAGGTGGTGTTAGAAGTGGCGCACCGCGTTGACCAAGAAGGCGTGGTGGCAGTGGACTCGGTGGTAGAGAAGCTGATATTCAAGCCGCAGGACGTGGTCTCGATCCGAGCGAAGGACTCGGACCTCGAGTACGCCACGCACGACGTGTTCCAGACTGATACGGCCATTAGCAAGTTTAACGGTGAGGTTCCTTTTTGATATAAGTAATAATACTATATTCTATCTACATTTCGTCTTACGAGTATCATTAGCAACAGGTCCTTTGGAAGTTCTTCTATCATTGTTTATTATAAAGGCCTACCGACCTGGTTGTAGTAGTGCGACTGCTAATCAATAGGTAATGGGTTCGGATCCCGGGTCGGGCCCAAAAATCTATTATTGAGTTTTTCTGTCAAGAAATTCTCAGTAGGTGCCCGGAGTCAGAAAGTTGACAGAGTTTCGCACAAGTGCCTCGGAAAGCACGTAAAGCCGTTGGTCCTGCGCCTGATCTCTCTCCGGTCGTGTCGGTTTACCGTCCCATCGGATTATGAGAGTGAGGGAATAGAGAGTGCACCTGTGCTTGCGCATACACTTGGGCACTATAAACCTGTCCTGCGCCGATGGCTAGCCTCCGTTGAGGCAGGCCGCCGTGGCTGAAATTCGGTCTGGAGGACATTATTATTATTATAAAGGCAGTGTTAATAATACAATCCAAAATTGCACATGTGTACACCTGCAATAAAATGAATTATCACCGGTAAAGGCCTGCTATATCCATATCATACAAACCGAACACAGCAATGGATACACCATCAAACCCAGTCCAGTCTAATCAGGAGAGTCTGAATTTTAGCCTTAATTAATTTTAAATATAATTTATTATATTCACGCGAATACTACACATTAAATGAAACTAATTTTACGGGTTTTATGGCGTTTTTAAATTCCCAACGATGCTACAACACCCATGGTCGCACTACAACACCCATGGTCGGGGAGGACTGATGTGTTTGACGTCATTTTTTTATAGGATAGGGTGACAAACGAGCACATAGTCCACCTATCCTTGACTACGAATCATAACGCAGATGCGTTGTCACCCGTGAGGACTAAGATGGAATGCCTCGTTTCCAGTAAAAAGAGTCTCCGGTTTTCTACACTCACCACACGAAACACAGCAGCATTAAGCTACTATTTCACGCTGGTATCCTGTGAGAGCGTGGTCCTTCCCCTGTTGCGCCGACCCATTCGTGCTAAAACTATACTACTACTATAACTGCAGCATGGCTCTACCACGTATAAATTATAGAAGGCTACCACCAACATTTAAATATTTATCCCTGGCCCGATCTACTCAGACAAAGTTCACAGTATCTTGAATTAAAAAGTTAAACGTCAAGTCCAATCTCCAATCCAACATCCCAAAAGAATCTTATTCCTAGTCTCGATTTTAAATATAATACCTATATTTCCATTTGTTTGCAGGCAACGGTCGCACAGCAGAAGAGCGTCATTTAGAGCCGTGGGACGGTTGCGACGGGGACACCGTTGACACTCCGTCCCTGAACGGCGACGCACGTTTGGATGAACTAGAGTTGGATCACCGCGCCAACGGCTGGGACGCGAACGATATGTTCCGCAAAAACGAGGAGGTGTACGGTGTACACAGCACGTACGACCACTCGCTGGCCGGTTACACGCTGCCGCTGCAGAGGAAGGACACGCAGGATTACAGGTGAGCAGCTCACTGGCGAATCCAATCCAATGTGTCCAGTTTTTAGTGAATTAATCAGCCTGTTAATCTTGAGGCTAGCACTTAAAGTGAAGTGGGCGCCAAAAGCAGATTTTTCACGCTTTACTTTATATGTTTGGTTTGATATTTCTTTTTAAAATTATATACACTCTTTTATTGAAAAATAAACCCATAATTCACTCAAGTATTTACTGGTGAACACATAGCCTGAATTTAATTAAAATTGATTTCATTACATTCGAATGAAACTGCTTTTTCACTTAGTGGACGTACCTAAAACTAGATTTCGAGGCAACTTTGCGATCTTTTTTTATCGAGCCAAAATGTTTCAATCGTGTTTTGGTCAACATAATTCACTAAGAAAAATCTTTAACTTTCACAATGAATTTAAAAAAAAATAATGTGGATTCGTAGTTTTTAAGGACAAAAATTGCTTTTCTGAGCTAGGTGCTCAAAGCGTGAAAAATCTGCTTTTGGCGCCGCCAACATTACCTTAAGTTAAATACTTATATATTACTATTATATACTAAATTACTTAAGTATTTTATTTGATTGAATTTGAAAGATGTAATTCGCTTTATCTATATATTGCTATGTTTAGAGAATACTTTTTACCGTATTGCGTGCAAGGGGAAGTGAGATTTGGCATGGTTAAATTTTATAACTAAGAGTAGTGCAGAAAGTTAAAATTTATAAAGAATGTGTTACAAATACATCAAATTAAATTAAATAAAACATTTATTATTTACGTTCACATTGCCAATCTCAGGCACCATAGTTGAACATAATACTCTACAGTCAAACAGACACACAGTAGAAATCAAAGATTATTTAGTTAATAATGATTACACATAGGTTTAGAAAAGAAAATTTAAAATTTAGCCTTAACATGCTGAAAGATTAAATGAGCTGTGAATTTTATGTGATTTCAAATGGTCCTTTTTCCATAGTCCGTGGAAGGTATGTCTAAGCGAAAAAAGCGTTTATTTTATATTTTGTATAATAAATATTTATGTGTATTTATTATTATGCAGTTGAAAGTAAAATGCTTGCTTGCTTGCTTGCTGAATATACAAAATTAAAAATTTTATCACTAGGCGACCGCGAGTATACATGATAAGTTGGTTACACAAAATAAATAAAATTGTAGTAATCATGACTGGCACTTCCACTTTTAAACTATGATTAGCCGTGAGCAATTTCACTTCTTCTGGGCAGAGTATATAGTTTCCCAAATGAGTTTTACGTTTGCGCATTAAGGGTCCGCAATCAGTTAGGATGTGCGGCGATGATGCGTTTCTTCCGTTATAGGACAGAACCGACACATCCTTGAGTTGCTTAGTCCCAGGATGGACATGTGCTTTTTAAGACAACAGTATCCAGTTAGAGCTCTTGAGAGAATGCGCAATTTATTTTTACTTAATCCCAGGGATTCTGATTCTGAAGAGGATTTACGATGAAAAGCCCTGATTAAGTTTTTAGAATGTTTTAAGCCTGGTGTGCCAGCCCAGATTTTAAGTGATTTATTGTGATAGAGTTTCAAGTGTCAATCAAGCTAGGCTTCTTGATGTTCCACAAAATGGCTCAGGTCCAAATTGTGTGCACTTTGAGCCCTCCGTAAATTCGTTGCCTACAATACCCTCGTGACCCTGAACCCATCTTAAAACGACCCTGTTGTTACATCCCAGGGAGTTTAATCGGTTCACACAGTCTCCAACTAGCTTCGAGTTCACCAAGTTTGACCTCAGCGCTAGCAGTGCTGCTTGACTATCAGAGTTTATATAAATTAGGTGGTTGACATAGTGCTTTTGCAGATTGATTTCCGTTGAAGTATAGTGAAAATTTCAGCCTGGAAGATAGAGGTGAGTCTACCCAAATTCGTACTTAGTTTGAATTTGGGGTGTTCCCCGTAAATTCCAAAGCCTACGTCGAGGCCCAACTTAGACCCATCGGTATACCATATGAGGCTACCGACCTCACAGATAGCATGGCCATTCAGACAGTTTTCTCTGGAGGGTAATTCCACTATATACTTTTTATCAAAAGTTTATTGTGGACGCATGATATCTGAGATCATGCATAAGACCGGTGTTTCCTTAATTGAGTCGAGCGTGGATCTCAATCTGTAGGAGAGCAAGCTCAGACCGCCCTGGGCGTTAATCCTATACAAACTAGCCCTCGCCTCCTTGTCTAGATAAAGATCAAGGGGCGTTAGGCATAGAAGTGCATTAAGAGCCGCTCCTGGGGATGATCATATAAATCCAGTTTCCATTAAGCAGGCAGTCAAAGGACTGCCTGCTTAATGCCAATGGCAAATGGTGTAACAAGGCCAACGAAAAGACGACTGCGGACGGACTAAATAGTCTACAAAGGTAGACTAAATAGTCTATTTAGTCTACCTTTGTAGACTATTTTGCCTTGTTACACCAGTCAATAGAGGCGTTGGTGAGAATCGGCCTCACCTTGCTGCTGTACAGCCATAGGACCATACTGGGATGCAAGCCCTGTTGTTCCCGACCAAACGACTGCACGTATCTAAAGCAATTTTTGCCTTATGGCATACGTTGCTAAGGTTTCTCATACTGTAACGCTTGCAAATAAAATTTTCTTTCTGGTTGAATCCTTTTTCTGCCAGGGATCCATTCCATCTGAGTAAATATCACTCTATTACCACTTTCTGTCACCAAGTAGCAGTGCGAGCGCTACTGTTTTCCAGCCTGAAGGATATAGAGAACCAGTGTTTCTGAAGTGTGTAAAGAGCCAGTTTAATTATAGGTTGTGAGGCATTATTCCATCTTAGTTCTCAGAAGTGACAACGCGTCTGTAGCCTTCTTTGTTTGAAGTTGGTTGCAGATATTATTGGGCAGCAGTAGCCTTACCATCAAGTGGCTGTAAGTTTGTTTGTCATTATAATTTTATAAAAAAAAAGATAAACGTTTACGTGTAATAGGAAAAAACCGGTCAAGAGCGTGTCGGGCCACGCTCAGTGTAGGATTCCGTAGTACCCCCTCCGTCACAATAAGTGTTCCCACTTATGAGTTTAAAGGTGGGTATCCATTATGTTCGCGCTCCAGCAGCGCTCCGCGCTCCTGCAACTGCTCCCGGTAGTGGGTACTGTTGTTTCCATCCAAGTTCAAAATGATTTTCCTAGAAAGTCCTTATAACGTTCTACTTTTCAGATTTCATATTTTCTAAACTTATGGTTCAAAAGTTAGAGGGGGGGGGACACATTGTTTTTTACTTTTGGAGCGATTATTTCCGAAATTATTGACATTATCAAAAAATGATTTTAGTAAACCCCTATTCATTTTTAAATACCTTTCCAACAATATATCACACGTTAGTGTTGAAATTAAAAAAAAAATCACTTCGCTCTTTACATATAGGGGGGCTACCCTAATAAAACATTTTTTTCCAAATTTTATTTTACCACTTTGTCGGCGTGATTGATACACATACTGGTACCAAATTTCAGCTTTCTAGTGCTAACGGTCACAGAGATTAAGCGAGGACGGACAGACGGACAGACAGACATGGCGAAACTATAAGGGTTCCTAGTTGACTACGGAACCCTAAAAACATTAACAACCCGAGAGTATTGGCTTGGCGTTCACTAAACTGTCCTTTTTAGTAAGGCTTACGCATTTTGGAAAAATTCAATGTTTTGTTGCAAAAAATCACACCAGTTTCGAACACAGGAGCAAAGTAGTTAGACTTTCGGGTTTTTTACAGGATATATTTCAGAGACTACATGCAGCAATTGCATAACTTAATTCCTCTCTCTCACGTCCACGATCGTACAACCAGACGCTCGACCAGTCTGCACCCTATCTTAGTCGACTTACCACGCATTCAAACCGAATGGTTTGCTTTATCATTCGTCATGCGTACAGCAAAGGAGTGGAATAGTTGTCAGCATCTACCTTACCATCCGTTTATAATGTGAGAAGGCAAGAAGTGAATAGGCTTTTGTTATGTCAGTGCGCTTTAACATTTTCAGCCGCATCACCCTTTATCATCAGGTGAGATACTAGTCAAGCATATCATCTTAGAATTAGTAAAAAAGAAAATGAGAAAGGTTAATAAAGAAATGAACGTTAAATCATGTGCGTCATTGTTATTTGATTTATCGCTACATACATTTAATCAAATGACGATGTTAACTAACGGGCTAGCTGTACAATTAACAAACTAATTGAATCATTATTTCGCGATAACCTCGACACAAACACAAGGTCCGAATGTCCAAATTAAGACCTTATAATATAGGTAGGAATCACCAGTCCAAGCGTAATAAACAGCGATCTATATGTTTAAATTCGTGAAAGGATTTGTATTTATTTACGAGAGTAATGGCAGAATCGGATCCTGAGAAGGACTTTTAGTATTGTTAGATAAATGATCATTATGCAATATTACTTAGCAATCTTCACAATTAATATTAATATGAATCCGTTTCAAACTACCTACATTAATTCTAATATTGAGTCACAATATAAAAGCGCGTACAATTGACGCTCCCGGCAGTTGATTACGAACAGTGGTACTGAGAAGGTTATAATAGTCAAGTCTATTGTGAAATAAGGTTCAGTTGATTCTAAAGGTTGTGAGTAAAGTTAAATTAATATATAGTTTTCTTTGTGAAAGTAAAGTACAGTGTGTTATAAAGTATCATATACAATTTAAGAGTGAAATTAAACAACGAACATAGTGTTTAAACAGTTAACTAAGTGAGTTGTCGTGGTTTATTGGAGAAAAGCTGACAGTATTAAGCATAATTTCTATGATTACTTATTTTGAATAAACTTTAAAAATTTATCAAAAAAAGGGTAGCTTCCGGTTTTTTTATCGAGTAAAATTAAACATCTAAACTAGGACGTGGCTGCGTCAGTTTTTTGTGGTCCAAACAGCATTAGTTGTAGATTATAGTATTTGTAAAATTGGTTTTAAGAAAGTGACTAGGGTAACAAAGCCTTAAGAGAGTAAATGTCTTCTTTAGTATAAATTTAAAATAAACTTTAAACTAATTAGGTAAAGTGTAATAAGAGTTTCTCTAAATTGGAGGAATAATCATGTCATCATCGTGACTAATGGTATAAAATGTGCCGGATTCACAGAGACGCAGAGGCTAAAGCGGAAGAGATAGCAGCAGAGATAGAAAGTACGCCTTCATACAAGGCGCGCATAGAATTAGAGAATGGAGATGAAGAAGAGCGATTTGCAGCTGTGGTGAGACCTGGAGATGGCAATGGGGCTGGGAAATATGTCATACCAAACAAGCGAAAAAATTTGCAGGTAAGTGAGCTCAGTAAATATTAGTTTGATTCTAAAAATGAAAATATACTACATCAAAATTTTAATTTACTATCATTCATAAATTAAAATCATTGCAAAGGGGAAGACAGGTTCTAGAGTGGTAAAGCTCGAACGGCCAGCCATTAGATGAAGTGGCAACTATGTTAGACTTGCAGGAAGTCGCTAAATGCAGGTGACTCAGGAATGTTTCCAAAGCATTTCTTAGGGAGGCCTACGTTCAGCGGTGAACTTGTGGGTGGGCTATAATAGTGAAAGACTAAAATTGGTTTAATTTCTATTATAAAAAATACAGATAAAACATCTTATCATCTAGAAACTAATCAAAAAAACTTGGTTCTAGAAACTGAGAATTTTTTTTATTGCCAATGGCCTAATTTATAATTATCAACACTGGTAAAACAAATATTATGATATTTAGAAACAATTTTAAGAGTAGCACTTACTTGAATATGTTAGGTACTAGATGGTAAAAAGGTTCAACAAGTAGAAGTTGCAAAATTTTTGGGAGTTACAATTGACAGTCATTTGAATTGGAAGCATGAACTAGAAGATATTGAAAGCAAAATTAGCTCAGCTTACTATGTACTGAAATGCTTACGAGATGAATACATAAATCGCCCTATATATCCAATGTACCCAAGCTGGTATACTATGCGTTGGCTGAATCTATGCTTTGTTATAGCATATTATTCTGGGGATTGAATACTAATTATAATGTTTAAAAAGGCTTAATCCAGCAAAAACAAGCTATTAGAACAATGGTCCATATATTATGACAACAGGAATCCTGTCGTGAATAGTTTAAAAAACTTGGGATTATGACTATACCATACTCATGTCTTTATAGAGTAAGACATGACTCGTTCAAAGACTAGAAAAAATAAAAAAAAGCCAAAAAAAAGAAAAAACGGAAAAAACCACTCATTTTTTTTTATTTCCCCCCCCGCCCCACCCCCAATTTTACCCCCCCCAACCTGACTATTTAGGTGCGACACTTTCGAATGGATGGAATGGGTATGTCTGTCGTCAGAGAATTGGCATACAAAGAAGTTGCTACATCTCGCTGACAACCAGGGAATAAAGTGGTTTAAAATGTATATTACCGCTAATCACAACACATTATTCAATGTTACAGAGCGGAAAACTGGTGAAATCGACGTCAGGAAATGGCGGTGGGTCGTCCCCTAGCGCGGGCAAGTCGCCAAGCTTTCCGCACGCGACACACGCGCCGCACGCCACGCACGCAACGCACGTGACACACGGACCGCACGCCACGCACGCGACACACGGGCCGCAAAAAGATAAGGAGCACCGACCTCCTCGTCACCACCTCACGCCGCCCTCCGAACGACGCCAGGACGACGCACCTGTCAGTATTTACTTTCACATATAATATGATTTGTTTTTGCCAATGTAAACAATAATAAAATTTAAGAAAACTTAAAAACACGCATTGATGAGCTGTGATGATTCTAGAGAGATTTATCCTAGTAATTCTGATCAGGGATACCAGGATAAAGTTATTAAATGATTGTGTTGTTGTCTGTCCTTGTTAAAAATGCAAATTTTCAAGTCAATCGGTCATCTACAAGTTGGTGAAAATTTACATTAAAAGATTCCTTACATAGATAGATAGATACACGCGAAGCTAATGAAAAATGAGCAAAATTGCGAAATTCAACAAAAGAAAAAAAAATTTTCTCTTTTCCAAAACGTCTTTTCATAATGATTTTTTATATTTACTCGAACTAATGAAAAATGAGCAAAATTGCGAAATTCAACAAAAGAAAAAAAAATTTTCTCTTTTCCAAAACGTCTTTTCATAATGATTTTTTATATTTACTCGAATACTACATATTGAATAAAACTTTAACTAAAGACTTCAAGCTACTGTATAAGCTAGGTCTGCGTAGATCGGATCAAAAATTAATACTCAAAAACTGAAGGTAGCTGGACTATGACATTGGAATGTCAAACACATCGGTCACCCCTGTGACCATAAGTGCTTTAAAGCACCCGTTATAAAACGTCCGGAATTAAAAACAAGCAAATTAAACGCGATAAAACCTGTAAAAATTGTTTTATTTGTAATGTCTTTTCAATTAAAACAATTTTATACGTACGGCATAATCTTGTGGTGGGTTTGTTTAGTAGTATGAATAATATTAATTGTTGTATTTTATAAAACTATATAATACAATGATTGAGAGTGTAATATTTAATAAATTAAAATTTATAATTACATTGAAAGAACATTTTTGTTGGCTGTTTTGATTACATATATATTTAACAAAATATATTACTTAGGATTCAGTGCATGTACTAAAATGGCAGTTTACATTATACTTTATAATAACTTGCATATTTTCTAATGTTTATATGAAAGGGTTAAATTATACCTCACCATCCTCCTGACACCGACATTAAAAAATCATACATTTCAACATCTTAAATCAGTTGCTACTTTACATGAAATGTGCATTTTAATAAGAAAGCAACATTAAAGAGATAATCGTCTTTGCATTATTAAAAACAAACAAAAATCTTGCATAATAAATTACTTTTGTTAAAAGTAAAACAATAGGACTGGTTAGAAAGAATGTTTGTTTGATTTTTGCTTTGTCATCGATTTCATCATGTAGTTGTTAGGTTATGAAAGACACGATGCTGAGTGGTTTTTAGTTGCCATCACTTTGTAATTTTTATGATTGCTGTAAATGTTATTTTTGTATCAGTTGTGGTAGGTATTTACCATACTATGATCATAAGAATAGGTCTGTTAAACTGGTTAGTTCGGGTTGCGTACATTACTTTTATATAACATTGTGTGTAATGCGTGTATGTATGTATGTCTATTTATTGGCACTCTCTGTAGCCTAAATTGCTTGATTGATGTTAACATATGGGATGTTAGAATTGTCTTAGTTATAGAAGTGGCAACAAGTGGTGTGTTGCGTGGTTGTAATTTAAATTGACGAGTAGTGTCATTGTCTTAAAACTCAATACTATTGTTATCATAAGTACATAGTAAAGCAAATGGTTCGTGTTGGTTACAGACGAGCAACGGCAGCGTGGCGGGCGGGGTTGCGGGCGGGGCGGGCAGCGGTGCGGGCGGGGCGGGCGGCGTGGCGGCCAGCGCCAAGAGCTACGCGGCGCAGGCGGCTGGCTACCACGCGCCGCCACCCTTCCCGCACCACGCGCAGTCAGTACCACTACAGTTGTTAGGGACCATTCGTTAATTACGTTAAGAATCCCAAGGGGAGTGGAGGTTAAAAAAATCTCTGCATGCCCTTATCTTGGGGTGTGGGGGTGGGGGGATTTAAAACCCATTCTCATTTTCAACGTAATATTTTGTAAGTTGAAATTGAGAGTGGCTAAAGGAAGATGAGATGCCAATATGTGCTAAATGAGGTTCCGTCTACCACTGCATCTGATGAGATACCAATTATTTCTAATTAATGAATTGATCTAGCTTTTACTGTTATTTATTTTCTTTACAATTAATAAAAACTTACTTTTAATTCCAAAAACTAGATACTATCTCAACTAGTTGTAATTTAAATTAATCATCATCATCATTACAGCCCTTCACAAGTCCACTGCTGAACATAGGCCTCCCCCAAGCAATGCCACAAAGCATGGTCCTGAACCTTTCTTCCCCATCGGTTATCAGTTCTTCGAGCTATATAGCCGGCCCATTGCCACTTCAGCTTACTAATCCATTGGGCTATGTCGGTCACTCTGGTTTTACTACGGGTATCCTCGTTTCTGAGTCTATCACGCAGAGAAACTCCGAGCATAGCCCTCTCCATAGCTCACTGAGCGACCTTGAGCGTCCTCATACGGCCAGCAGTGAAGGACCACGTCTCTTATCATTGTAAATAATGTTTTCAAAGAGGTATACCTACGAGAAAGTTGTACCCCATCCTCTTGACCTCTTGGTCGAAGTTGGAATTACCTAGTCGGACTATTTGTCCCAGGTAAACGTACTCGTCAACAACTTCGAGCATAGTGCTCCCAACAACTACCGGCATAGGTGTGACGTGGACATTAAACATGATCTTTGTTTTGTCCATGTTCATCTTAAGACCTATCCGTTGGGAGGCACTATTGAGGTCATTGAGCATAGTGCTTAGGTCCTCCAGCGATTCTGCCATAAGGACTATATCGTCGGCAAATCGAAGGTGATTAATGTACTTGCCATTGATGTTAATACCGTATCCTTTCCACTCCAGTAGCTTGAAAACTTCTTTCAATGCAGCGGTGAAGTTTCGGGGATATAACGTCACCCTGTCTTACACCTCTCTGCAGTTGGATAGGATTCGAACTCTGGTTCTGTACTCGGATAGCCATCGTAGCCCTACTGTACAAACACTTCATCACTTAGGTATACCGACAGTCAACTTGGCACCGCTGAAGGGACTGTAGCCCCGCCCAAATTTCGACGGAATCAAAGGCTTTCTCATAGTCCACATACGCCAGGCAAAGTGGCAGATTTTACTCTTCGGTCTTCTGTACAATCTGCCGAAGGGTATGTATGTGGTCTACGGTACTGAAGCCTTTTCGGAAACCGGCTTGTTCGGGAGGCTGGAAGTCGTCGAGTCTGCGTGCGAGACGATTCGTAATGACTCTCTAAAACAGCACGTATACGCGGCTCAGAAGGGAAATCGATCTGTAGTACTTCAAGAGAGCGTTGTCATATCATCGGAATAGTGTCTGGTAAGACTTGCTCTTGGATCGTTACTCACACTTGCGTGTGGCTCCAACGATGATGTGTGCCTATAGAACCTCTCAATCTCACGCAAAATCTCAGGTGTCTCGGAAACGATGCTGCCACACTCGGTCTTCAGCTTTGACAGTTGGCTCTTTCTGGCAGACAGATCTCTGGCAAAGACTTTGGAGCCCTGGTTCCGTTCGATCGCTTCTTTAATACGAGCAGTATTAAAGTTGCGTAAGTCTCGCCGCGTGCATTTGGAGATCTTTCTGTTCAGTTGCCTGTATGCTGTCAAATCTGTTGACAATTGCAGCGTCATCTCCCATCTAACAGCCATGAGATTCGCTCATCTGTTAACGGGATGAAATTTGTTGTTGACGCCTAAGAGTGTGATCGGAGAGTTTTTGTGTTCTTCTGCGGCGGGTCTTGCAGAACTTAGCTCCAACCGCATGGACAGTTTCCACAAGCTTGTCATTCATATCGTCCACTGCATTGCAATCTTCTAGGCACTGAAAGCGGTTACGTAACTCGAGCTGAAAAGTCTAGGGATTCTGGATCAGAGCACGAGGGGGACGGAGCGTTGAGTTCATTAGACGAGACCTCTCCAACTTAACGTTAAGGTTCAGTGTGCCTCTAACCATTCGGTGATCGCTGCCGGTTTTCACCCTTGCGATCACTGAGAAATTACTGAACAGTTGGCGTCTGGTCGTCATAATGAAGTCAATCTCATTTTTTGTCGAACCGTCGGAGCTCGACCAGGTCCACTTCCTGTGGGGCCGCTTCTGGAAGAAAGAGTTCATCATAAAGAGTCCCTCTTTCTCCATAAAGTCAGCCAGCTGCTGGCCCCTACGGTTCCGTTGCTTTACTCCAAATTTCCCTAACTTCAGCTCACCGCCTTCTCTTGTGCCTAGTTTTGCGTTGAAGTCTCCCATCAACACCGTGTAGTGGGTTTTGGAGGAATGCATGGCTTTAGAAATATCCTCATACATTTCCTCCACCTCCATTACCATTACCATTATATTATAATAATAATGTAATGGTAATTTATATTTGATAGCAATAAAAGAGTATAACCTAAGTTATCTGTTAAAACCTAAAAATCTTTTATTTATGTCAAACTGAGTTTTAGTGTAACTGAGCCTTTTCTAAACAACATTTTATTATTCTGAAAAACGAGATGAAATCTTACATAAGAACAGGGAGAGTGGTTTGAAAAATCTTATATACCTTTACATAGGGGTAGAAGGGTCAAAAATCGACTAAATCATCCCTACGTAACTGAATGGCCCCTTGCTACTTATTACACAATATTGTTATACTTTCATGGTATTCAGGTTCTAAAAATACTGGAATCCATATTGAGCTGTTCATATAGGCAGAGCCCAGCAGTACAAAGCATTTCCAGCTGGAAGACGGTATGGAAGGAGGAGGAGCTCCATAGACAAAGGCTCTAGACGAGCCTTTCGTAGACACAGTTGCCTCCTTTTACTGGCTTTGTTTTGGTGACATCTTTGAGGAAGCAGAGGGTTTTGTCTGGGTAATAAAAGATCAGGTTATTAAAACCAATAACTATCAGAGATACAACCTAAACGATGGCCCCGCTACCATCCCGGTTAGTCACTTAAGCATGTCATCACAGTTTGTTCGGCTCTCTTTGATCGGAAACTGTCTTATTAAAAGTGTTGACTGCCTCGTTGGTCTAGTGGTTGTATTAGAGCGACTGCTGATCATGAGGTCCTGGGTTCGAATCCCGGGTCGGGCCAAAAAATCAATTATTTAGTTTTTCCGTCAAGAAATTCTCAGTAGCTGCCCGGAGTCAGGAAGTAAGCGGTGACACCCCCGTGTCTCGGAAAGCACATAAAGCTGTTGGTCCTGCGCCTGATCTCTCTCCGGTCGTGTTGGTTTACCGTCCCATTGGATTATGAGATTGAGGAAATAGAGAGTGCATCTGTGCTTGCGCATACACTTGGGCACTATAATCCTGTCCTGCGCCGATGGCTAGTCTACGTTGAGGCTGGCCGCTGTGACCGAAATTCGGTCTGGAGGACCTGTTATTAAAAGTACTTGCCGGAAGCCATGCACGACAATGACCGCGCCAGGCTCTACTGGAACCCGGTCAGCATCACAGACAGAACTATTCTTGCTAATAATCCTGATATTGTACTGATGGACCAGGCACAAGCAAGTATATTATTGGTCGACATTACTATTGACGAGAACCTCTTGAAAGCCGAAACAGATAAACAAGCAAAATATCTGGACCTAGCTCACAAGGTGACACTCTGATACCTCTCCCAGACATGGATGATAGTCTCTGTGATAAGAGCTTGGCATTTTTATGATTAGTTCAGATGGTTTTTCCATAACCCATGACAAGACCATGGTAGCCATAGATTGAGGTACTCTTTTCTCTGCCCTAATACACGACGAGGTCTATGCCCAACCGCGAAATTTATGTGGAATGAACTTTTTACTTTTAGCCAAAAAATAAAATGTTTTATTTTTCCTTACTAGGGCAGCAACCGGGAAGTTAAATGGTGATCCAAGGGCGGCACCACTTCCAAGGCAAGGTTTCCCTCCACATCATCACCATGTAAGTTGATAAATTATTATAATAGGAAGGAGAAACTTCATGTGGAGTTAAATTGAAAACAGGACATCTATTTTAAGAACTACCTATTAACGAAAAAAAAAAACAAATTTTAAAAAGACTCGCTTCATCATCTTGATCTTTTAGCTACCTTAACTTGTAGATAATTGGACATCCCTATTGAAAGGAATTTTTCTATTATAGCCACAGTTCGCAAATTGGTGATTCCAGATGTCTGGTATGTCTGATACTGCTACTTCTTGTCGGTCTGGACTGAATAAGCGAGATGCTTATACTGATAACTACCAAAGGTCATGACATCCGAATGCTATAGTCAAGAAACGTTTTGTTCTTCGTTAAGATCTATTTTGCATTTTTGTTATAGTTTATTATTCAAAATTATTCATTAAACAATTGGTCAGTAAATCGTCTGACCAGTATTTTGTTTTATTGAGTGATTTTTCGTGCACTTTTTGCACTTCAAAATGAGTCGTAAGAAAGTTAATTTAAAATTAAAAACCAGGCCTTAGTGGTGAATTAAAATACTAAATGGAGCAATAGATACTCTACAGTCTGGTCTAATACCATCAAATTTTTTACAGAAATAGCAATAACATGTTTTTGTTTCGAACTCTATGGGATACTTACTTACTTTAATCACTGAATGTGACTAAATGTAAACACGTAGCCATCTTGTCCAATATGGATAGATAACATTACCGCGTTCGACTGGGGTATGGAGGATAGAGGTAAGGAGGACTATCTCTGTGTATAAAACAGTGTGCGTCGAAATGCGTTCAATTAGAATGGCGCTACAATAGCAGCAGTAAAATTAATTTGGACTATTTTAGAATGTTTTATAACAGTTCACACTGAATAATTTACTAAACGTATTTGTAGTCCACAAAAAATAAAATCACTTAGTTATTTTATCTTATATTTAAAAAAAATATTTTTGGACTACGTGAAGTAAAAAATATTTTTGGACTAGTTGAAGTTTTGTATAGAGTACTGTAACGAACTATTCAAGTCACCAAAAATATTAAGTTTTTTAACTCGACACACTTCAATCCATCTATAACTGCTACATTAAAAACATACCCTGTATCTACACATGCGCCATTCTGGAAGGTTTTGAACTGTTATTTACAGCTTAAAGCTGGACACTTTCTTATGGTGTCCTCTATATGAGATAGTCTTCCTTACTTCTATCCTCTATAGACTGCCGGGGATTTATTTACCGTTAATCTTAAACTGCAAACCTTAGATAGATGAAATCAGCTTCTGTGTGCATAAATATTGAAAGTTATTGCTGTAAATATAGTATTAACTTCATATTGTTATTGGTTTGCTTGTATAAAAATAATTTCAATACTCAGTAAGGAAAGACATCATACTTTGGCACTTGTACCCTCCAAATTGTAACTCAATAGTGGGTGCATGGCTACTTAGTCTGACATAGGTAAGAAAGTCCTTATGAAAAGGAAACCATCTTAATTTTTTTATTGATAGAATTGATATTTTTATGTTTATTTTATGGGAAATAGTGCTAGTATTTTATGGGAAATAGTGTCTCACCTGCTGTGAGACATTCCATATTAGTCCTGAGATGATAACACATCTGTAACTATCGAGATAGGGGCGACGCCATTTTCAATCCCATTCTTTAATTGAAAATGGCGTCGCCCCTATTCACCTCAGCTCAAATACTGTTGCCATGTGTACCTCACACTCACGTGTAGACTACAAAAAAAAAAACACGTTGCGATATCCGTTTTTCGGTAGGTTCTATAACTTCAGTCCAACTCATTGGAATCGATGATAACAAATTCCTAAAAACTTTAAGAAAAATTCTGTCTAGTTTTCCTAATTTGTGAGCTACAACGCGTTCTGAGAGTTTTCTTCATAGTTATTGTTGATTTTGTTTTTTAATATTTTTGTATGTATAAAATATTTAAACGCCATTGAGATATGAGTAACCATTTTTAAAATTTTCGTTTGTCTGTGCGAGCTAATCTTTGGAATGGCTGAACCGATTGTAAAAACTTTACAAACAAATGGAGAGTAATACCAGGAGCGATCTAAACAAAATTTCATCCGAAAAATTTTGAAATTCTATTAAAATAGGAATATTCTTGAGATAAAATAAATGATCTTTAAAGATTATCTTAAGTATAAATAACGTTATATTCATAGATCCCACCCAGGAAAAACTAGAGGGGGTCGCTAGTTATAAATGTTATTTTAAGATTAATATACCTACTTGGGTATATAGTTCTCATCTAAATAATTTACAATTATTCGAATAATATAACTATATACAGTTATTAGCGTGTTTTCGCTATTGGTAGTGTGCATGATGACGGTACGGGCTTGATGAGACGCCATTTCTTATCCCATTCTTTATCCTTGCGGACTAATAGATTTCTTTGTTTAATATTCACTCATTCGTCTGATAAAAAACATAAAAAATAACTGATAGCTGATACTTGAAATCACAAATTATTTTTTAATATACCACGTTATTTTTCATATTCTTACATTGTCATCTGATTCTGAGCTGTGTTCAAAATTTCAAGTCCGTATGTAGCTTATCGGAATATTAGTTCAAAGCCAGTTACGTAACGAGTTAATAAAAACGTTAAATGACTTAATAAAAACAGTAGCATGCCTCTACCACGTGCAAGCACTCACTACTGTCTTTTCGAAATGAAAACTTCCCTAGAATCATTGTGATTTAAAAGTCGATGAAACTAAAAATATACAGCAAAAAGAAACAAACTTATACATCTATCTATAAAATGAAGTGTTAATATAATTTAGATTGGGTGCGTTTGGCAGAAAAAAGCGCTAGCAAGCGCTTGTAAGCAAAATGGCGAAACTAAACAGTTTTCGGCCAGGACATGTTTACTAACTTCAGTAGCGCTGACAAAATCCGCCATTTTGATTATTTAATTTGTATGTTTTGAAGTAGAATTTATAAGTTGTTTTTTGCAATATTAGTTTTAAGTAATATAATGACGCGAATAGACATATACATGTTATTAAAAATTCATGATTGGTAAGTTTTTAATATGAATACTTCACAAACATATATTTAAATTAGGTTAGGATCCCCGATTAAAACTAACATCGTGTCCTAGAGGAAAAT